TATATAGTATATACTCTGTATATAGGGGAGTGGTGGCGCAGAGGTTAGAGAAGGTGTGCTTGTGATGGGAAGATTGCCGGTTCAAGCCCCGGTACCGACAACATCAAAAATGTGGGTGGGGTAGGTGAAGCACACAGACCTGCCCCCACCCTCATTCGTCCCACTCTGGGCCCTTGAGCAAGGCCCTTAACCCCCACCATCTGCTCCTCTGGGTGTCCTAGATAGCAGCTCTCTGCTCCACACAGAGGGCTGTGGTAGCTCGGTGGTCTGTGGTTGCGTCAGGTAGGGCATCCGGCGTAAAAATAACTAACAAGTCTTCGTGGGACTTAGTTTGCTGTGAAGACCACTAAAGCAGGGTGCAGCCAAAAGAAGAAGGAAAAAAAAAACGGGGAAAAAACCCCACTATATATGCTGTGTATATATAATATACTCTGTATATATACTGTATATATAATGTGTGTGTATATATAATATACTGTATATAAACTGTAACAACAAAATCCATGCTCAATAATCCAGGTATATATACTCTATATATAATATACTGTACTTTGTATGTATACTGTATACATACTGTACTGTATGCTGTATATATAATGTACTGTATATACTGCATATATGCTGTATATATAACATACTGTATTTACACTGTAAATATACTGTAGCCGAAAGGAGAAAAAAAAAAAAGACAAAAGACACTGTATATATAATGTATAGTTAAAATATGTTTTTCTGCCAGCTTTTGAACCATGGCATCTCCACTGATGAGTCTGGTGAATGATGATGGTAGATACCAGAAATCATTTCAGCTTTTCCTGGAGCGCTCCTCTGAACACCAATGTATGAGGGACTTCATCCACAACAAACTGCCAGACCTTCTAACCAGGTAATTCACCTGTAGTTACTTTAAAAATAGACCCACACTGATAAAGCTAGTCGTTGCAACAACATTCAAAGGTCTTAAGTGCCGTATTTTCCGGCAGGCACGTCGCTCCGCCCTAATAAGTTGCATCAGTCCATATTTGTCTAATAAAGTTGAAAAATCCATAAATATGTCGCTTTGCTGTATACGTCACATCTATTATGCATCACCGCTAACGTGTTGTGTTTGTTACGCGTCACCGCTGACAACCTGGAAATGTGGGCCTGTGTTGTGCCAAAAACCGATGCGCTGCCAAATGGTGACCGCGGTAGCGTGCACGGAAGGACTTAAACAAGAATTTAACAAGATTAACGCTTAAAAAATATATTTGTTTGCTCGAAATTATATTAAATGTGTGTATCAATCTAACGTTTGCTTAATAAATGCACTTTGATGGTCAAATCAACTGTATTTCAAAACCCGATACAGAGAAGTAAACGCGTACAAAATTTAACACGATAAACACCTAAACAATTATTTGTTTGCTCAAAATTATAGCAAAGGTGTGTCTCAGTCTAACATGTGCTTAATAAATGCACTTTAATGGTCAAAGTAGTTGCATTTCGCTGGGGCGGTTCAGCTGGTTTGACGGTTCCAAGCAACGAGCAGAATGAAGGTGGGGAGTCTCTGGCAGGCCAATTGAGTCATTAATAGCTGGTGAAGATTCTCAGTCATCCAGGACATGGTAAATTCAAAAAAGTTCAAAAGAAAAACAATAAAGTACAAAATAAAGTATAACAAATAAATAAAGTCCGGTTGTTTTTGTCTTGAACTTTTTTGAATTTGTTATTATAGCCACGTTTACATATTACATGATACAACATCATGCCATATAGGTATTACTACTCTACAGCCATCAAGTGGCTGAAAGTGGTATTGCTCAATTATTTTTATTTTTATTTTTTCAGTTTTAATGAATGAAAACGGTCATATCTCAGCCAAAAAATGGTTTATAAATATGGGAAAAAATCCATAAATATGTCATTTCAGCCTATAAGTCACAGGGCATGTAAATTATGCAAAAAAAAACAAACAAAACCCTGCAACTTATAGGCCGAAAAATATGTTAAGTAAAACTTTATTTGTATAGCACTTCTCAAGATAAAAATCACAAAGCACTTCAACAAACAAAATAACAAATGCACAAAACAAAATCATATTGAATATTATTAAATGGTGCAGTTTGAGAGATTTGAGTCCAGTAGTTTCCCCATGTTATGTCATTCTAAAATGTGGGCCCATGCTCGGTGTAACCAATGCATTTTGGCTCAGTCACTTGGCTGATCTAAATTAGGCTGGTTCTAGTTTGTTTAGGTAAACAAATATGGCCGTTAAGTTTAACGTTTGACATATTTTCAGTCATTTTGGCTGTTTCTCTAGGTAAAAAAATTGTGGTAGTTAAGATCTGTTCACAAAATTTACTCTTTATATTATTTAGGACACATTAACCCTCAATATGAGGAAAAACATTCTTAAGATTTTTTTGTTCTTACTTAATTATATGTTTTGTCAAGTCTTCACAACTTTGCAACGAGTACCTTTAACAGAAAATGGTCTAATTAGAATGTAGTGGTGATGATGAATGTTGAAACATTAAGGACTGACGTTCAATGTTCCCAACAACACAGTGCAGAGAAATTCATGTTTTCATGATTTTACTACCTTATGAATGTCATTATAGCTGCTTTTTATTAGTCGCATATTCAAAAATGTCATGGATTTCTAAACAAAATGTATAAAATACTGTTTAATCCTACTTATTTGATTTAAAAAATATATATTTTTTAGCTTGGACTACAATCTGACTTACTATATAGCTCAATTAGCTGTTAACGTAGTGGTTTTTAAATGGAGCTCATTATTATTGTAGTGCTTCATGTGAACAATAAATATTAATAACACAATAAATATCAAGTGGCTAAGAAAAGAAAAAAAATACGTATGTATATTCCTCATGCTCATACTAAAATGTGTGAGCACAATTTTTCTTGCAGTTTTGTCACAAGATCATCATTACTGTTAAACTTTGTTGTTAACCTTAAACCTGTCATAAGCAGACTAGTGTTGTGTCATATTTGTTGCTGATTAACAGGAGAACCTTAGACCAGAAAATGACATTAACCTTTAAGTAACTGATTGATAAAATAACTTTACAAAACGGTAGAGTATGGCAAACTATGTCTACAGTATTGTATTTGTTCATATTTACCACCAGGAATGTTAAAAGTTGTGCTTTATGCAAAATTGACACTAATGCACCATTTGAAGCAAAAATTACATAACCATACAATATATCTAGGTAATTGGTCTGTAGGCTCCATCTTGTTTTTTTGATAACTTGGTAATTGTGACTTTGTGTCAAATCATTTTAGCTACAAATAACCCCAAACCTGCAAACTTTGCATTTTAAGTAAAAGACAAACCGGTACCATGGTCTGTATGTAATAACTTGCTGCATAAAATGGATGTTATATTCTGAAAAGAAATATCTCTCATAGAAATGCGACAACAAAGACCTGATCCAATGAAGTGTGAAGAAATAATCTGAGTAAAACAGACCCTAAAGTTACATAAGCTGTAAATATCTGTTGCTATGTGTTGTTTCATTTCTCTCTGAATATAGTCAAAGATACCAGCAGAATTAGTTGTCCTTCACCACAATAAAGTGCCTGATAACAAAACAAACAAAAAAACAACAACAACACAGAACTAGCTAAAAACTAAGTGGATGATTGTGACTGACAATAAGTAGTGTTTCTGTAAATGTCTCTCCCTAGATTTTCTTTAAATCTGTTTTTGGAAGCCCTGGGAGATGAATGGCATGCTGCAGAAATCCAAACCAGGCTCTGCTACGTTTGGCAGCCTCAGAAGCAGATCCGACACAGATCTAGAGGGATATGATTCACAGCTTAATTAAAAGGTGTAATAGAGTTAATAAAAATCTGATGTTGAGTGACAGAATACACCATAGCCACATTCAAAGCCAAAGTTCTTGTGGAGGCTTCAGTCGTTAGATCAGAACATCTCACATTCTCAAGTGTCAGGCAGAAATGTCAGTTACAGGCCCTAAAAGTATGACCCACATTTTGCAGGTTGGAAGCTGTGAATTTCAAGGCTTTGCAGCTCTGAAGACTGTTTTTTTTTTTTTTTTTTCTGTTTTTTCCCTGTAGCATTGGAGATGGAAAGTCCCATCTTAATGTAATTGGAGTGGGAAGCGGCGCTGGTAAGAATATACACTATAGGATGCCATCACTGATGAACTTACAGTATATACCACGGCAAATAGCTGCAAAAGGCATTCATGATTGGAGGGTTCTCCTTTATCCATGCTGCAGAAAACACAACATTTTTCTTAGTTTTGGGGGTTTATAGACCGCTCTAGTTTGCATACGAGTCTAACTTTAGTCTGACAAAGTGATCTCATGTCTTACCTGCACAATGATTCATATTAAAGCAGGATTATTTTTTTCCTGAGCACATGCCCCCAGAGTGCAGTCACCCTTTACGTATGTCAGAGCCATTCCTTTTAATTTACCTGAGCTGTCATGTCTGTATCATTATGGAGCCTCTAATGGACTGTAAAATTCATTAGAATGACTTCAGACTCTCCTGCAAGGTATTATTTAACCTAATCAAAATGATTCACCGCATGTTCACATCAGCTTCTTTGCCTAAATATACCTCTTTGTGCGTGGCAAGTTGTCATCTTCAATAAGAAAAGAAACAGAAGCACCTTCCCTTGGTCAAGCGGTACTCAAAGAATTATCATATCGACAACTTTTGGTCTTGTTCATATAACCCCAATTCCGAAAAATTTTGGATTTTGTGTAAAATGTAAATGTATTAAAAAAAATGCAAAGATCTGTAAATTTCATAACCAATACTTTATTCACAATTAACAGTAGTAAACATGCCAAACAGACAAAAAAAAAAAGCTTATTTGGTGGCCAACATATGGTATTTTGAACCTTCATGGGCATTTTACATATCAAAAAAGTCCAACAGGTCACGTTTTATTATTGTAAAGTATCTTTTTTTTTTTAACCAACAGTAAATGTGTAGGAACTGAGAGGACCAGCAGCTGGAGTCTTTGGACTGGAGGAGAATGTCCCATTCTTTTCTGATATAGGATTCTAGCTGTTTAAGAGACATGGGTCCATTTTGCTGGATGGAAGCACTTTTTCTTCTAAAGCCTATGTATACTTTTCTGCATTGATAGGGCCTTTATAGAAGTCTAAGCTACTTATGCCATGTACAATAATGCACCCACATACCATCAAAGTGGCAGGCTTTTGATTAATGTACCTATAACTGACCATATGGTCCTTCTTTCAGTACAGATGATGTGGCATCTGTGGTTAAAAAAAAAAGTAATTTGTCTGACCACAGAACAATATCCCACTTTGTAAACGCACTGTAAACTGTGTTTACAGACAATTTTTGGAAGTTTTCCTGAGCCCATGCAGCAACATCTATAACAGAATCAGACATTTTAATGCAGTGCTGCCTGAGTGCCTAAGGGTCACAGGCATCCAGTGTAGACTTTCAGCTTTGTCCTTGTGCTCTCATAGATTTCTCTAGATTCTTGGCTTTTGATTATATGAACTGCATATAATGGGATAGTTATATTCAATTTACAGTTGAGCAACAGCATTTTGAGTTTGTTCCACATATTTTAGACACAGGTTTTCACAAGCTGGTGAACCCATCCTTACATTTGACAGATGTCTTACTAACCTGTTGCCATCCACCCATCCATTATTTTTCGCTTGTTCCAAGTCGGGTCGTGGGAGCAGCATCTTGAGCAGGGAGACAAAGACATCTCTTTCCACTGTCACCTCTTCCAGCTCTTCTGGGAGCATCCCAAGGCATTCCCAGGCAAACTGAGAGACATAGTCTCTCCAGCGTGTCCTTGGTCTTCCCCGGGGTCTCCTCCCAGTCGGACATGCCCCAAGCATCTCGCAAGGGAGGCGTCCAGGTGGCATCCTTACCAGAATTCGTGACCGTAGGTGAGGGTAGGAACGTAGACCACCTGGTAAACAGAGAGCTTTGCCTTACAGCTTAGCTCCCTCTTCACCACATCGGAACGGTACAGAGTCCGCAATACTGCACACGCTACACCAATCCGCCTGCCACCTCACTCATGAACAAAACCCCAATATACTTGAACTCCCCCACTTGAGGCAGAACCTCACCCTCAACCTGAAGAGAGAAATTCACCCTTTTTCCGGTTGAGGTCTCCTCCTTGAATCGCCACCTTATCGTGGTGGAGGAGTTTGGACGCCTGAGTGATCCTAGGAGCTATGCTTTCAGGGGCAATTTTAATTGGTAGGGTCTCCCAAGGCAGATTGGTTCTAGGTGACAGGCCAGACAAAGAGTGATTCCAAAGACTGTTATGGACAAGAAACAGCAAGGAACTCCATGTCCCTTGCCCGGACGTGGGCTACCAGGGCCCCACCCTGGAGCCAGACCTGGGGGAGGGGCTCGTTGTTGTGTTCCTGGTGACCAGGTCTCTACCCTTGGGGCCCGGTTGGGCTCAGCCCGAATGAGCAACATAGGTTTGCCTTCTTGTTGATCCCCCACCTGCAGGAGGGGCCATATGACTTGGGTGCATGAATTCATGGGCAGTGGCCGAAGGCAAAAACCTTGGCACTCTGACAATGGCTTACCAAAGGTGGCTCTTGGGACATGGAATGTAACCTGTTGCCAATTAACCTAATTAGTTGCAAAATCCTCCTTTAGCTGGATCTTCTTTGTAGCAGTTTGCCCCTTTTTTGAGACTGTTATGAAATTCAGAATTACCTTTTTTTAATTTTTCCAAAAATAATGGTATAGTTTCTTAGCCTGGACCTTTTAATTTGTATACTGGGTTTCATTGTAAATAAAATGAGTTTATGTAATTTTCAAATAATTCTATTCTGTTTTACCCAACGTTCCCACATTTTTACTTTGGAATCAGGGTTGTAATTTACTTTTATTTTTCTGAAATTGTTGCAATATTTAAAGTTGAGCTTTTTGCTAAAGAAAACCCTGCAGCAGTATTTAATCCCACTATTATATAACATTACCTTTTTTTAAAATATTGGTCTGTGTGGGAATTTTGGTCAAGGTCTTTTGTTAATACTTTTTTTTCCCCCAAAATAAAATTGTATTGATGCCTACAGGAGAGATTGACTTGGAGATGCTCTCTGAGCTCCATAAAAAGCACCCAGAGGTGGTGGTGGATAATGAGGTGGTGGAGCCTAGCAGCCAGCAGCTGCATAACTACAAAGGTACATGCTCTCTCACATTGTACAGAATGCATTTCTCTGCTCATGAGCACTGTGAAAATGGTTGAATATTTAATTTTCCTGCAAAAGTAAATTCTTTATTGTATATTTAATGCTTAAGCTATACTTTAAAGTGGCCTTTGGCGTTTTTAATAATGAATTAGTAATACATGTGCTCGTCTATTAGAGAGCTGGTCTGTGAACTACACTGTGGATTCTAAACTTGATGTCAGCAAGAATCAACCCCCATGAACTTGAAGTTTTTTGTAAAACTTTATTTTCACTAAATGCTTCTGTTCTTTTATATCCAATCTCCCTTTTTTTTTTTTACACATAGACCTCAACAATTTTAAAAGTCTGGAGAAAGTGAAGATCCACTCTTTACTTTTTTGACAGCTTTTGTGTTGTAAGTGTGGATCTTGGTGCTTCACGAGAATTTTCAAAATAACTTTGCAAAACTTGTTGAGCTCTTATGATCCCAGACTTGCCAATACTTGTTTTGTTTGAATAAGCAGCTCGCATAATGCTCATAAGTGAAGGAAGGAAACTGAGATCACAAGTAAAACAAAATACAATGAAGTGCATCATATATAATTAAATAATTGCCTCTTTAATGTAAATATACTTATAATTTTATGGGGCTGTGGTAGCTTGGTGGTCATTGCTGTGGTCTTGTAATCCTGAGATTGTGGGTCTGAGACCAAGTTGCATCAGGAAAGACATCCAACTTTAAAAAAAAGAAGCTAACTCTCATGTGAGTTTGCATACAGTAGTCCCTCATTTATCACGGTTGTTTGGGACCACGCCCACCCACGATAAGTGGAAAAACTGTGAAGTAGGGATACTGTAGTTCAAATACAGTAAACTTTGTCATGACGTGGCAGGCTGCAATCACACACATCACCTGTTATTCCCAATCTCCTTCAATGTAATAAACAATTTAAATGTAAATAATATAACATTTCAAATAAACAATCCATGCAGCATGGATTATTTAAAATATTACAGTATTTAAATTTAAATTGTAGAGAAGAGAAGCTCAGCAGGACATCAGATATGTCACACAGCTTCAGCTCTGCAGCACGGAGCAGAAATGTACTGCTTGATCGATTACACTGCAACAACTGAACATAGAAGTTCTAAAATAATTAAAAATAACTTGTTTAACACTTTTATATTTTGTGATTATGACGATTTTACGATGTGACGTACTTTGAATTTTAAGTTGAAAGACAAAAGTTGATCGGAGCATCTGGACAGCAAAGGGTTAACCCTTCACAAAGCTGCAACAGTAGAAATGTGTGTGCGTGGCACAGAAGAAGATCAGCTGATCAGCTGCATGAGAGAGCTTTCCCCTGCACTTGTGGGCTTCACACACGGTGTAAAATCATTTAAAATAATTTATTTTAAATTAACAATCCATGGCTCATCAGCCAATTGTGTCATGTCCAATCTTACTTTGAAAAACCGCGATACAGCGAATCTGCAAAAAACGAACTGCCAAGTAGCGAGGGACTACTGTATACAATCCAGCAATGTTCAGTCAGGTCATCTGGATGGGTTCTTATTTATGCTGAGACGTTTCGCCCTCCATCTGGAAGGCTTCATCAGTCTGAGGAAATGCCAAACAAAACTGATTCCCCACCAAAAGCCTACTCCAAAATGAAAGAAAAAAAAGTTATCTTGGTGCTGAAATGGGATTCATCAGACTCCTCAGATTGATGAAGCCTTCCTGATGGAGGCGAAACATCAAAGCACCAAACAACAACAAAAAAGTCCAGCTGACCTGACTGAACATTTTTGGATAGTATACCTGGATTATTGAGCATGGACTTTGGTGTTTTGAACCAGTTTGACATGACTGTCGACGAGGAAGAGGGCAGGCACCGGAGGAAAGGGCATGCCCCAGAGGCCATGTTAGCACCAACATAACTTTTTATTTTTTTCAACTTGGAGTAGGCTGTTGGGGGATAATCAGTTTTGCTTGGTGTTTCCTCAGACTAATGAAGCCCTCTGGATGGAGGGCGAAACGTCTCAGCATAAAAAAGAAACCGTCCATATGACCTGACTGAACATTGTTGGATATAACTTGGTCAGTTTTATAAACATTGAGCTAAAATCTGCTTTGATACTTTGGCATGAAATATAGCATGCAGTATGCATCCCTTTAAGGAAAGCTAGGTCTTTTATTTTATAATGTTTATATTAAACAAAAAGAGTGAATTTGGTTGGACTCAAATGAAATGCTAATCAAGAAGGCATTTTTTTTTTTTGTGACACAATAAAATGTATGAAATCAATTATTATTGTTTTTTTTTGTTTTTTTTACACATTGCCTCAAATATTGTACTGTGCTCGGTCACAAATATAAAGAGTAGCACTTGAGTGTTGGACTGCTGGTGTAATTTAGTGAACTGTGCACTTTTTTGTGTGCATTTTTTTATATAAAATAAATTTCAGCCTTCAAACTTTTAACAAGTCAAGTAGGAGTTTAAATTGGCTTGCCACTTTTCTAACACTGCCTCAGTCATTCTCACCTGATTTATCTTTATTGATTAAATAGTCACATGTGCCGCCTATTGTTTCTGCCAAGTGGCTTCTGCTGTTTCTAATGAAGTGCGATGGAACAGAAGTGAGGGATGTTTCAGGAGAGGTGAAGATTTCACATATCGTAATCAACAGTAGCAGCGTCAATTTCAACTTCTCATAATCTGAAATAAAACTTCATCCCTAGAATAGTGCGTGTATACTCAAGTCTTAAAACATTGTTCGTTCTATCCATTCATCCATCCATACGTACATACATGCATATATACAGTAAGGTTTGGCTCTTAACCCAGATAGTATGTGACTGAGAACAACAACTTCAGGGCCAGAAGAAAGTTTTAACAGTGTTTATTTACAGATATTGGATAAATATGAACAGTATGAAGAATCTGCAGGGCAGGACTGGAACCCTGGAGAGTAAGGGACAATATTATTAGAAAGTCCTCCTGGAAGGTTAGTCTTGATGTTCAGATTCTTACTGTATGCTGGCAGAGCTGTCGCAGAGTCGAAATCCAAAAAGGTTCCAAAAGGTTTCATACGATCAGTGAACAAGTGGTAGAAGGCAAACAATGGCTGGAGAGATCACAAGGAGGTTCAGGAAACAATCAGGAAGGTCCAAGGCTCAGGATGATCACAAAAATCAAGCTACAACAATGAGAATAAGATTAGTCTTTCACAAAACAATGGGAGTAAGATAAAGGCCAGGAACACAACTACCGATAGGAAGACAATGCACCAGTGTCGGGTTGCAGTCATCAACTGCCTTAAGCACTCCTGCAGCTCATCATGCGAATGGTCCTCAGGTGTGGATCTGTTGGTGCCCTATGGTGTAGAAGAGCTGCAATAGGAAATGCTGGAACTCCTACATACATACATGCATGCATACATGCATGCATGTGTATACACACATACATACTGAAGACTCAGAAAGTAAACACTGAATGAGAATGTGCAACTGATTATTACAGCAGAATAAAGGAAACACAGAAATGGCTATAACCTCAGGATTGTATAAATATTGTGTTGATATTTGGTCTAGTAGTGGCTGAGCATTTTCCAAGTTTACAAGACCGTGGTGAGACCAGCTGTGCAAATGGTCTGGAGACAGTGGCATTGACAAAAAGACAGGAGAAAGAACTGGAAGTGGCAGAAATTATGATGTTGAGGTTCTCCTTAGGAGTGACAAGGATGGATACAATTAGGAATGAGATCATCAGAGGTACAGCACAGGTTGAACAACTGGGAGATAAAGTTAGAGAGGCCAGACTGAGATAGTTTGGACATGTTCAGAGGAGGGATAGTGGGTATATTGGTAGAAGGATGTTGGAAGTGCAGCTGCCAGGAAAAAGATGACAAGGAAGGCCAAGGAGAAGATATACGGATGCAGTTAGAGAGGACATGGAGGTAGTTGGAGTGTGGACAGAGGATGCAGAGGACAGAGTGAGGTGGAGGATGACTCGCTGTGGCGACCCCTGAAGAGGGAAAAGCCAAAAGAAGAAGCAGCTGAGCATTATTCCCAATACATAATGTGATCACTACACATTGTACAGTATTTTTACTCAAAACTTTGCCATTAAACTCTTGTCTGTTAGCTGGACGTCTCACAAATAACTGCATGGATTTCAATGAAATTCTCAGAAAGCCTTCACTTGGAATACCTATAAGTAATGCTTACAGTCAATCCCAAATTCAAGATGAGTGTCACAGCTAATCAACATTAGCAAACATAAAAAAAAAATGGCAATATGAGCTGAAATCTGATGTCTTAGTGGCTGAGGGCCATCCTCAACACATACTCCAAAAGCTAACAGACCTCACAAGAGTTTGCTCATAATGTCATTTACAAGGTTTGAATCAAACAGCTATAGCTTTGTCCCTTTTCTTCAAAAGATAAATCTAGTTTAACATGTTGGCATTAAAGGTGATGAACAATATGCATTACTTCAAATAGTGTTAGGACTTCAATTAAAAATGGTTTTGTTGCATGAAAAAAAGTGTACTTTAGTTGTGTCAGTCACTCATATCAATAAAGATTCTGTTTGTCGTTATAACATTTTGTGTCAAAAAGTCATCAGCAGACGAATCGTTTTCATGTTTAACTGTTCCATGTCTTACTTAAGTTGTAGTGTCTCAGAAACCAGAGTTAAACTACATCAAGTTTACCTGGAACAAGATGACTGCCTCAGAGTTCGAGGAGCACTGGAAGCAGACAAAGATGACAAAGAAGGCAGATTTCATTCACATGATACAGGTTGGTGCTGATGTCTTCCCAGCTCTCACACTGTATTTTTGACACATCTAGGTCATATTCATTAGGTGGCACTCGACAGCAATTAATCCCATTAGTGCATCTGTCTAGCAAAGAAATATAATTAGGCGCTTCGTGAATGCAGCAAGCAGCTCATTATGTGTGGTGAAATCGACAGATGCTGTACTACGTGAAGGATCCCGGCGCTACCATCAGCTTCTTCCAGAGTCTCCTCAATAAGAACGGGAAGCTGATTATTATTCTGGTGTCTGGTGAGTTGATTGATCTCATTTTAGATTAAGAAATGTCCTTGTTTTTTTCCCTCTTGGAAGTGACATGATTTGTTGTGCATCAACATGCATCATACTCCAAGGATGAAAACAGTTTACCAGAGATCCCAATGAGTGTCTCCAAACTGGGTGTTGCTGAGAGTGCAGATGTGAGCTAGAATTGTACTGTTAGCAAGGTTTTTTCTTTAACATAGTCAGTAAAAGTTTTGAATTTCGAGGAAGAGGTAATGACACGTTTCTTGACTTTCTTTACAAACCTGTTGCATATTTAAATATTTACCCAGAATCCCTTAAGGTTTTATGTGTGTGTGTGTGTGTGTGTGTGTGTGTGTGTGTGTGTTTGAACCTTCACCTGACTACAAATTTTGAAAAGCACACCTGTTTTTAATAATGTGAATGTTTATGAAGCGTTCGCACTATTGTGATCCATTTTTCTTCTGTACATTTTCCAGCATCTTTCTCGTCCCACAGTTTTCAAGCAATTTCAACAACTCCTATATCAAAACATTCAGCTCTTTCAGGACAATCCTGATATGACTTTTGGTATTGGTGCAACTTTAGCCTTTTGAAATATTTAGCCTTTTATGCCACTTTTTTTCTTCTCATAGAAAATCAATTGAGCTCATTTTACACCCATCAAATATTTAGATGTGTTTACAACCTTTTAATGCTTTTTTCACATGTTCCATTTCAGCTTCTTTCAGCTTCCTTGCACAAATGTAAACATTTTTTCCGCTACTTTCAGCTAATTTCAGCTGTTTTTTTTTTCCAGCAGTTTTGTGTTTCTTTCAGATTATTTTTTGCTAACTACAACATTTTTGTGCTTCTTCTAACTTCTTTCTGCTAATTTCAGCTTGTTATGCTCTGTTCATCTTATTTCTGTAAGTTTCAACTTTTCTACTACTTCATCTACTTTATAGCTGTTTCCATGCTAATTTAAGATTTTTCAGCTATTTTTTTTTGCACTCATTTCAATGTTTTTCAGCCTAATTCAGCAAATAGTGTGCTCTCTTCACTTTCTCTTTGCAATTTCAGTTTGTTTCTGCTTTTTAGCTACTTTTCATCTATTTTTTTTTAGCTTATTTTAGCAGTTTTTAAGATAATTTCCACTTTTTTGTGCTCCTTTCTGCTTATTTCAGCCTAATTAACTTCTTTCTGCTATTTTCAGCTTTTTCCTTTAGGCTTTTTTCTGCTAGTTTCAACTTTGTTCTGCTATTTCAGCTAGTCTTTAGCTGTTTTGTGTTAAATTTTGCTTTTTCAGCTAATTCCACATTTTTTAGCTCATTTCAGCTCCTTCCACTTCCTTCTGGTAGTTTAAATTTTTTTTTTTTTTTTTTTTTTTTGTTGCCTTTTTCAGCAATTTTTCATCTATTTTTTGTTAATTTTAGCTTTTTTAGCTTATTTCCTAATTGATGTACTCATTTTTGCCTATTTAAACCTACTTTAGCAAATATGCATTCTTTCTGCATTCTTCTGCTAACATAGGCTTGTTTTTCATTTCAGCTACATTTCAGCATGTTTTTAGCTGATTTCAGCTGTTTTTCAACAAGTTCTTCAGCAATAAGCATCCACACTGCATTTTCACAGGACATGCAATTTCTATATTTTTTTTTGTTTGTTGGTTTTTAAACGGCCACAGCAACAAAAAATAAGTAAATAAGCTATCTACTGTAGGTTATTACGTTACAGCCCTCTTCACATTTAGGCTCACAGCGAGCATGAAGCCCAGAGCTGAGAGGGTGCACACAATCTGAGCCAATCTTCATCACTGGCTGCTGAGAGATGGCAACATACAGGAATTAGCTGGTTTTACCAACCGCAGCATTCGTGTGTGTGTCATTTTGTCAGAGGAAAAACCCTGTTACTAGATTTACTGAAAAAAGTAAAACATAATTTTGTTGCGGTGATTGCAGTCGACTGTGTGTTGCACTATGCTAAGCACACCTTGAGAGGCACTCCATTGACAGAGCGCAAGGCACCTCAACACGCACACACAAACATACAGGAGTTTTTCTGTTACACAAAAATGCAAGTACTTGAATGTGTTGAAGTGTAGGACACACATACAAACTCATGTATGTTTGTTTGTGAGGTACTGTCATGTGCTCCATCCACAGATTTCCCTGCTAGTAGCACATTGCACTGAGCGCAGCACAACACAAACACAAAACTGAGTTTGGAGTTGGTCAGGAAACACGTTTATTTTATTTTATTTTTTAGTAATTTTCCTAAATTAAAAGTTGCCTTTCAGTTTTGTAGTTTATCAAATGTTTTGTTTGACACATAGTCTGAAGAACACAGCTTACAGTTCAAACTGGATAAAAAATATGATACACTAATACTTTTATATTTTAATTTTATCTTATGTCTTGCTGAGTTACACCTACTCCTATGGAAAGAGTAGGTCTTTCTTTGTTTCTGGGAGACTTACTACCTGTTTAAAAAAATAAATAAAAACACTATGGGAGATTTTTTTTTCATATTTTTATGGTGACCCTCCCATTAAGGCAGAGGCATCAAATTCACTTACAAACAGGGGCCAAAATTAAAACGTATTTCAAACTAAGAGCCAATTTTTGAATCTACATTAACTCAAGTCAGACACCCAACATCTTTTCTTGGTTGCAGGTTCATTTGACATTCTCTGTTGCACGTTTGACATCATAATCAAATATTACTGAAAATATTAAAGTGATAAAAGTATTTTACATTTAAAATATCATCTTGGGGGCCAGATAAGATGTCAACAAGGGCTACATTTGGCCCCCGGGCCTTGAATTTGCCACATGTGCATTAAGGTATATACTGAGCAAAGGTGCATCTAAAAAGTAAAAAAAAATTGAATGTGAAAATGTTCAGTTTTTGTCATTCATTTCAGAAAGTGACACTACTCATTTATTACATAGATTCATTACAAATAGTATGAAGTACTTCAAGCCTTTATTTCTTGTGATTTGGATGATTATGGCTTACATTTAAAGAAAAAAGTTATTCAGTGTCTCAGAGAGTTTTAGAATATTACATTGCTAGCTTTTGGTAACTTTGGGAGTAGCCAAGTCTTGTTGGAAAAATCAAATCAGCATTTTCATAAAGCTCGTCAGCAGAAGAAGAGCTCTAAAATGTCCTGGTAGATGTTACATCAACTGTGGACTTCAGAAAACACAGTGGACCAACACCAGCAGAGGACATGGCCCCAAGCCATCACTGACTGAGGAAATTGGACTTCAAGCAACGTGGATTCTGGACTTCGCCACTCTTCCTCCAGACTCTGGGACCTTGATTTTCTAAATTACATGAAAATTTACTTTCATCTGAAAAGAGGACATTGGACCACTGAATGACAGTCAAGTTGTCTCCTCAGCAGGTAAGACACTTCTGACGTCATCTCTGGTTCAGGAGTGTCTTAACATGAGCTCATGTCTAATCCACTGATTAGAGTGTGACACCAGGAGTTTATAATATTGAACATCTTCAAAATATTCAAATTTTCTGAAACACTGAATTTAGTTTTTTTTTTTTTTCATTATCTGTAGTCCATTGTCATCAAAATTACAAAAAAACACAGGCTTGAAATATTTAACTCAATAATGACTCTATATGTTTCACTTTCTAAAATGATTGAACTTTTTCACAATATTCTAACTTTTTAAGATGCACCTGTAGATTTCAGCCCTAATAAAAACTGTCCTTATTTATCATGCTGATGGTAGCCTTGTTCCTGTTGCATCTGTTCCAGAGAAGAGCGGCTGGGGGAAGCTGTGGCGGAAATACAGGACTCAGCTCTGCAACACAGAAATAAGTCAATGCGTAACCACAGGAGACATCAAAAGCATCCTGGACTCCAAGGGAGTGAGCTACCAGAGCTTTGACCTGCCATCTCAAATGGATATCACTGAGTGTTTTATTGAAGGAGATGAGAAGGGAGAGCTGCTGCTTGATTTTCTCACAGAGGTGCTGGACTTTAGTAAAACTGCCTCCCAGGAGCTGAGAGCTGGTGTGCTGGAGCTTCTGCGGCACCCAGACTGCAGCATGGAGGCCGAAGGCAGAGTTATCTTTAACAACAACCTTGGAGTCATAGTCATAGATAAACCGACTTAAAAACTTGCCGATATGATAAGGTTGAAGGTTTAATGGCATAGATGATAAAATTAAACAAAGTCCATAACAGTCAGCTTTATCTTGTTTTTCACGTTACTACCTGTGCTGTTAATGATTAACTTCAATAAATATCTTGGATAATTCTGTGCAAATTGAAAACATCTTTAATGGAATGTTCCTTATTTTATGTGGAACTCTAAAATTCCCATCATACAGATCTGTCTTAGTCAGTTACAAAAATTAGCTTCAGATTTTGCCGTCATGTGATTTTTAATGGGCTACACTTGGCAGGCTGTAGCTGAAACCCCCATGATGCTTCTGCTGTCAGAGGCAAAACCTCTGCTTCATTGCAAATCTAAAAATAAGTAGAACATTGCATAATTAACTTTTCATTGAGACTCATTTTAGAGAAGCTGAAGGTAATTGTGCAATATACATTACAATGGTTGCAGGTTGTATTAATATCAGTAAGAGCCTGAACTATAAAATAAAATAAATAAAACCAATTTAAAAAAATAAATGCAGGTAGTGTTTTGTTGTCTTCTTCTTTTTTTTTTGCCACAATGTAATTATTTGCAAAACTGCTTGCTTTAAGAAGTAGTACAGCAGTTTTAAAGTTTCTTTGGAGCTGGTTAATGTTGGACTTAAGGTCAGTGATAGATAACAGAACATGTATGGCAGCATGACAAGCTTTCTGAGAAATGCAACATCTAGTATTTGATTCAAACATATACATACAGTTTTACTACATTTTACCCTTATTCTCCAAACTGAGTTTATACATGTGGCTGTTTTTAAAAGTCATCAGTCATTAAAGCCTGAATTAAAACAAGTTTATATAAAATTGTGGTGGACAGCTGAATATCCTCTCATGTTTAAAGTCAAACTGTGCACATGTAGGTCATGCTAATTCAATTCAGTTTATTTATATTGTGCAGAAACATTCACACATAAACCAATTGGTAAAGTTTATCTAAGGAAGCCAGCAGATTACACTGAATTGTCATTTTGTCGCCGTCTCCCATCCTGAGCAAGCACAAAGGCAACAGTGGAAAGGAAAAACTCCCTTTTAACAGGAAGAAACCTCCAGCAGAACCAGGATCAGGAAGAGCAGCCATCTGCTTCAACTGGCTGATATAGCAGCTATAGCAATTAAAGACAGCAGCAGAGTGAGGAAATGTGGTAAATGTATCTATAACAGCATAACTAAGTATGACCAAGTTATAATTAAGTAATTAAGACACATTGAGACACGCCTACAACAGACAGGAACAAGCTTGTGAATTTTGATAGAGGACTTAAAGTTGGCAAAACGTAATGTAGCTGAAGCTAATTCTGCTAACGGTTGACAAAGTTAGAGAAAACGCTAATTAGCTAAACAAAAAAAACAAAAAAATTGTTCACGTATTAGCAGACTAGCAGAACTGTGCCCACCACTGTCCCTGCCTTTATGTGCTCACTTAAAAATGCAAAAGGTTTAGATTTCAATTGAATACTATTAAAATTGTTCCAAAAAAAGGTGGAATACAGCTGCAACCATTGCATTGCTGCTGAATTAAAAAAATAAAAATAAAAAAAAACCGTCAAGTAATATAGCAGCAGCTGAAATACATGGTGAAAGTCAAGTTTTAAGACCAGAAGAAGAAAGAAATGTATTTGAGTTAAAAAAGTAAAAATGTGTAATCAGCCTATTGGTTGGATTTGTGAAACTATCCAATTAAATCCAACAAGATTGTCAGGTCCTCTGGATGGATTCAACAAAGAAGACTCTGTCCAGAGGACCTGATTTAACCTTGTTAGATTTATCTACCTGGATTATTGAGCATACGTCAGGATATCCTATTATAATTAAGTTATGAGCCCTGACAAAGGCTAAATTCAATGTTCAATGTGTTAATATTATAAGGTAGAATGTATTTTTTATTTTTTTTTATATATATACATTTAGGGTTAATAGCTTGTTCTGTCCTTTCAAAAACTGATTTGGTCTTACTAATGGATGTTTGGTTACTTTAACTAGCTCATCATGGAAGGGAACAGTGGAGACTGTTTTTGCCTGTGTATGTTTGTGTTCATGAGACTGTATGTTACCAAAATATCTCATGAACCAATCGGCAAATTTTAATGAAATTAAGAGAAAGTTATTACATGTGCAACTATAGTCAATTTGTACAGATATTGAACTAAAATGTGATGTGGTAGTAAGTTAGAGTAATTCACAACACATACTCCAAGTGCTACTCAATCTTTGCTTAATACTTTAGTATCGACTGTTGGAATCAACTGTTAGCAAAACATCTCATGAACCTTCGATTGGATTTTAATGAAACCTTCATGAAGTGATCATTAGATATATGTGTACAGCTCATAAACCGTCAGCGCTGTAGGCCCTGCTGATGAATAAACCTGATAACTAGTATGTTTCTGTGCCTTTTGGGAGGCTGTATCCGAAGAGACAAATATTTATTATCAACAGGAACATGTTCAGCCTGAAATGTGGACTAATGTCTTCATCTGGTGGACACCATGGATTACTGCAGTTTTGACAAGACATCCAGTAAAAGGAATCCAACACATAACACAAGAATTTAAATGCATTAAATGTTTGAATAAAGATGAGACTAAGCTTAGTTGGATGAATATAAGCAATAATTCAGTAAAACAAATCTTATTGAGGTGCAGTGAATACTTTTCCCATATATGAGCATAGCAGCAGCAGACTCTGTTTATTCAGTCAAAGTTCAGGAGTGATGCAACAAAAAGCTGCTAGGAAAGAAGAGGACCAGCTCGCCTGCAGAACTGAGTGAAACCCTGCTGCTTAGAAGAGTGAAGCTCACAGATCCTGTCTCTACTCATCATATACACAAATTCAAGGTAACTTTTTAACACATAAGTACATCTTTGAAGTTTGCCAAGTCACTGGGGGTAAATTTTGCTTTGTGTTGCAGAGATCCAGTCATGGCTGCAGAAGCAAAGCACACTTGTTATGAGGGCTGCTCGGTTAGCAGCTTCCAGTTCTACTTGGAGAAGTCAGGAGAGCATGCAGCTGTTCTCAAGGGTGTCCAAACCATTCTGCCTGGGGAGTTCAAAAGGTGCATTGTTCCACTTTGAGTTTCCACTGTCTGGAGTTACGCAATCTGGAGGCCGCAGACAGGAATGAGTTCCTTTAGTGATCAGTGGTGCAGCAACATGGAGTCAGTCTGTGGCTTAGTGGGCTTTTGAAATTGACCGGCAAAACACTGTGTAGAGAACAACAGCACTATGTCTCCAAGTGTAGACATTCAGTTCCTACTTCATGGATTGCATTTTTTTTTAATATTCAGACCATAAGTGCATGACCACATACTGAACTGTCTTATGCTAAGGGTCATTAGAAATATGTTTGTTTTTACTAATTGTGATGCAGGATTGGAGCAGGAAAATCCAGCCTTGATGTTCTTGGTGTTGGGAGTGGTGGAGGTATGTGACTGAAAAAACAAACAGTTAGTTATAAATCTGATAGGCATCACCTGAACTTATTGAAGTGAAGTAAAGCTGCTTAAAACGGGAATTAAATGTAAATTTAAAGTTCGTGAGAGGAATATTTGTCAGTTTATGCTGGAATCTACACTGATATTAAAATGTGAAAAAACCTGTAACAGCTCTTTTACTGTAACATGGTCACAGATTTATTATTTCTCTTTGCTGTTCATTCTGCAGTCCGAACTTTTTAAAAGCCAACAGGATCCATGTTGAATTTTAAACTATCTTAAAGCTGTGACTCTGTAAAACACCTGGTCATACATTCAGTGAGAGCTGTGCTTTATCTTGGAATGTCACCCTCCTGATTGTTCTTCCCTTTCATGTTCTCCCACTGTGCCATTTTAATGCCACTTCAATTTTTCAGGGATTTGAAGTGTTATTTCTGGCATTAATTGTTATTTTGAAAATGTGTCTGCTCCTGCATGTCAGCAGCTCCTTCAGTAACATCGTTATTCATCATAACAGATGTTGGAATGTGTCAAAAATTCCAAGAGCAGCCAAAGCATAAGGAAAAGACCTCCCAAAACAAAAATCTCAAAAGTTTTAAACAGAAAATATCAATAAGCTGCTGAAACAGGCTGGTGCTATGCATTTCAGAAAGAAAGTGGATGAATTAAAGCAGGATTAAATCAGCCCAATTATTATTTTGAAATGTTGTAACTTAACGGTCTGCTCCAGGTGAGGTGGATGTGCAGATGCTCTCCTTGCTGAAATCAACGTTCCCTGCTGTTCCCATAACAAGCGACGTCGTGGAGGGTAGCTCGGCTCTCATCAACAACTTCAAAGGTATTAGTTATTCACTTTAATCGTGTATTGTAGCATCACAAAATAATACACGTTAAAAAATACATGAAATCTGAATATGTTCATTTTATTGTAAGATGCAAAAATATCTAAATTTGATTTAACTGATTTTCAAGTAAAAGAATAGATAAATGGTTTACACTTTATTCTTTTTGTTTAGTGAAACGTTGTGATTAGGACAACTCGGGGTTAAATTGAGGTTTATATATATTTATATATATATATATACACCATACTTTCCACCGTACTCGTCGTCGCACTGCTGTATAAGTTGCATCAGTCCAAATATGTCTGATAAAGTGGACAAAAATATAAATAACTCATTTTGTTGCGTAAGTCGCATCTATTATGCATCACCGCTGACCACCCGGAAATCTGGGCCGGTATTGTGCCAAAAATTGATTGTCTGCCAAATGGCGGGAGCATGCATGGGAGGACTTTAACAAGAATTTAACAAATTATAGAAAAGGTGTCTCAGTTTAACTTTTCCTTAATGAAAGGACTTTAACTGTCAAATCAGTTGCATTTCAAAGGCCGATTTGCAGCTGCGGGAGTGCGCAGTGGGACGAATTGCTGTGCGTTTCTTCTAAATTTAGCAAGATAACCACCTAAAAACAATTATTTGTTTTCTCGACATTATAGCAAAGGTGTGTTTCAGTTTAACTTTTCCTTAATAAATGCACTTTAATGGTCAAATCAGCTGCATTTCACCTGAGCAGCACGGCGAAATGCAGCTGATGTGACGTTTGCTCCAGGAGTTTTGGAGCGAGAAGAAGGTAGCTGTATGGTAAGCCAAGTGTATCAATAATAGCCACTTTTACCTATTAATGAGGCACTTGGCTTTCCATATAAATTGAAGGCCCTGTAGTGGCTGAAAATAGTAGTGTTCAATATTTGTTATGTCAGAATGAATGAATTTGTCAGATCTCAACCAAAAATTGGGTTATAAATATGGGGAAAAACATATATTAGTCACTTCTGTATGCAAAAAGGTGCGACCTATACAGCAAAAAATATGGTATATATAAAGTTACATATACATTGTGTGCACATTGCATTACTTGAGTTTAAACATTTTATTTTTATTTTTTAAGCTTTGGTTGCAAAGACTGCAGATCTTCAGAACGTCTCGTTCTCCTGGCACATCGTGCACAGTGAGGAGTATGAGAAGCAAGTGAAAGCAAAAGGAGACGTGAAGAAATTTGACTTCATCCACATGATTCAGGTACTTTTGGAGAAGTTTTTTTGAGTCCACCGATTTGTCAACAAATTTAAACTCTGCTCAGCAGCAGCACTTTGTTGAATTTCTTCCTTTTGCATCAGAGAAAATCACACTCATTTTAATAATAAACAAAGACCTAAAAAAGTTAAATCTGGTCCTCTGGACATTCAAAAAAACAAAAAGCAAAACAACAACAAAAAATGTAGAAACGTTTCGTCTTTCATCCGAAAGACTTCCTCAGTCTGAGGTGCTGTGTTCAGCTCAGTCTTATAAATAGCACCTTCTCAGAGTGGATCAACCAGTTGGCTGCTGACAACCAAAACCAGACGTTTCCATTCAGCCTCTGAACTTTGCATGTTCTCCTCAAGCTGCAATATGTTTCCACCAGTCATGAGAAGCAGCCTCAATAAGCCCCTCACTCCTCTGTGAGACCACTTGGAGGCACTTGTGTCAGGACATACGGAATAGATATCCATCCATCCATCCATCCATTATCTTTAGCCGTTTCTTCCTTTTTGGGTGATGGGGTCACTGGTGCCCATATCCAGCAGTCACTGTGTGAGAAGCGGGGGACACCCTGGACAGGTCTCGAGTCCATCACAGGGCTTCAGTAGATCTGCATCTACTAATTAAAGTGTCAAATTGTAAATGAAAGCTCACATATATTCAAGCCTTCACATAAAATCCCCCCAATGCTCTCCTCAACAGATGATCTACTACGTGGATAACCTGTCTGAAACGATCAAGTTCTTCCATAGCCTTCTGAAAAACAATGGTAGGCTCATGATCATTGTTGAGTCTGGTAAGTATACTTAATTAATTTGAATACCACACAATCAAGTGCCGCATTCACATTCATTCATTCATTGTTAAACTGTTTTCCATAAACAATGCCAAAATAGGAAAGGAAGAAAAGTGACTTTCTTTGGGGTTTTTTTGTGTTGTAAATACAACCCCAATTACAAAAATATGTCAATGTTCAAATTTTAAATAGAAATGTCAAATGATTTACAAATCCCATAAACCATTTTTTTTTATTTATTGACAATGCAAACATCAAATGTTTAGACTATGAAATTGTACCAATTTAATTTAAATTTTAATTTTATGGCAGAAACGCAAAACTGTTGGGATGGGGGCAATAAAATGTTGTAAAATAGGTGGTATGAATAAGAAACAGCTGGAACAGTTTTTTACAACTTATGAGAAAGTTCCTGGAGAAACTTTGACGAGGCACAGACACATGTGGCGGCCATTTTAAATTTTTTACTTGACAGTACTATGTGTTATGGTTCCCTCTCATCTACCACCATACCAAATTTCAGCTCAACATGGCCAAAAAAAAAAAAAAATCAATGAGTTAGTTTTTTTTTTATTTTATATATTTTAAACTATATCTTGGATTTTTTATTTGGACTCTGTATATGATGGGGAACAGCCTCAGCTATAAACAAACCAAATTTCAGCTCTATGTGTAAAAATAGCAGCATTAAAGCCATTTAAATAGCTTTGGTAACCATCTTTGTTTTATTTGAAATCAGTATTTAGTGGGCATTGGCCTCACCATACCTAATTCCATTTTAATACATCTAATTATGTT